ACTTATAGATAATACATTACTGAATATGAAGGAACATTGGCATAATAATAATAATAATTTTATTAATTTCTTAACGTATAGCAAGAATATCATCTTCCACCACTCACTAATTAGATTATGATAATACATTATGAATATGAGGAAACATTGGATAATAATAATAATAAAAATTATTAATTTCTTACCCAAATATCTCTTCCAACAACTCACTAATTATTCATATATGTTTTATTGTTATTTTTTGGGCTGGATTTCTTTTTTTTATTTATGAAATATATTTTTTCTTTTCTTACAATTAGGGTGGTTTGTATTTATATCCTTTCCTTACGATCTCAAATCCAAACAAAAAGTCATTCTCTACATTATAGATGGGCCCCGCATCTCAGCTTTTTTTCAATCAAAATAGTGTTGTGAGTTGGCAGGAATCGTGCCGTCTATCATTTTCCAAAAAACAATAAAATGAAAGGAGCATATAAATAAATAATAAAAGCTCGGAAAGCAGTAGAATTCTTTCCCATTGTCAAACATTTTATCAATGATTTTCTGACATTTTGTCACTTATTTCTTAAAAAGGGACCCATTCTCATTTTATATTATTTTATTTTTATAGTTTATCTCTATTTAGTAAATTATCTTTTCATCCATCATTTGAGATTTAAGTTACTCAAGTGCTAGTAAAATTACAGAACTAAAAAGAAAAATATTACATTTTTGTTCTCATATGTTTTGACATAATTAATTACTTTGTCCTTATATTTTAAAAATTACATTATTTTATCTCTCTAGTTTCGATTCATTAATAACTTAAATATTAAATAATTGATAAAAGGATAATTTTATTCAAAGAAGATAAATTATAAAAATAAAATAGTGTAATTTTTAAAATACAAGGACAAAGTAATTATGCCAAAATATAGAGATAAGGTCGTATTTTTCCCTAAATTTATATCAAATTTTGATTTAGGCCCTTTATTTTTTTATATTAGCTCAGTTAAATTCAATATATAATTATCGACTAAATTGACCCAATGCTTTTATTTTATAGCTGATTAATTTTTTTTAATATTTTAAAGATATGAGATTCAAATCTAAATTTATTGTCAAATTATATATACATTTATTACTGTACAACTATTATTTTTTTTTTTTTTTTTAAACAAAGAAGGCATTTTTTTTTTTTTTTTTTGGTAAACAAAGAAGGCAGAAGCCTCAAGTTACTTTTAGTTGCTCTTATTCTCAAAGATTTTGCTCAGAGAGAGGTAAAATAGGCAAAAGAAAGAAAATAACTTTAAAAAATAATGAATAATATTATTTTCTGTTATTTAAGAAGAGAAAAAAAATAAAGAGAGAGAAGAAAAATCAGCGTGATTTTCCTACCAAAATGTTTTATCAAACTTGAAGGAAAATAGAAAGAGCAATAGCCATATTTCCATCTATATCTAAATACAAGATTTAAAAAAAAAAAAAAAACCTCTTTTGCCAGTTATTTTCTTTTCTCCCTCTTTTTAATTTTTCAATTAAAATTTAAAATTTTGCATGACCAACGCCAAGCGCCAAAGTTGTAAATTAATTTGATGCATATACTAATCAGTCATCTAACAATGACTAATGGAATTAAAAACTTTAAAATCTGAAAAACAAAAGATGTCTCAAATTCAAATTTCACGAACGTTACGCAAATAGGGGGTTCAGTTCCAAATTGAGTCGAACTGCAAAAATCAAAAATAGCTTTTTCTTGAGACCAAACCTAATTGAAGTAAGTTCGAAAAATCAAATCAAATCAAATCGATTGGATCGGTACATATCGGTTCGGTCAAATAGTTCAATTTTACTAAAAAAATAAGTATTTTATTATAACCAATCTAAAAATCGAAATCATGAAAGATTGAATACTAAAGCTGAAATTAAAAATTAAATAACCGAGTAAAAAAAATCAGTTTGATTGGATTTTCAATTTTTTCCAAATTGGCTCACCTCTTATTTCACCAATATAAAATTGAAACTATATGAAGGTTTCTGCCTGCAAAAGGAAACAACTCTCATTTATGTTTCTCTAATCGAGTACAATGTCACCAATATATGTTATTTTATTTGTCCTTTTTTCGACTCTAGAGTCCAACTTGATTCGGCTTTATATGGCCCAATTGCAAGAGATAACCCAGTTGGGCTTCCTTCTCACGAGTATGATTGTCCTTGGTCCTTATATTTTAAATTAGCACGACTCCATCCAACAACTTGATTTGGAGGATCCAAACACGGTCTATGGGCTTATTTTCAACCGTCATTGCCCTTAAATTTTAAGTTGTCACATAGTTTGTGGTGATTTCCAGGTGCTTAAATTTGGAGGTGAGGTTGTTCTTATGGTTGCTTCAGTTTTATGGGTTCACAAGTGAGCGTCTTTGCTTATCTCATAAATTTGTTTAGCTTCTTCTAATTCAGGAGAGCCTCTTACATTTCCTACCAGTATCACAGTCACTATACTACTGCTTCTGGTTCTATTAGGTTTCATTTTTATACCAACATTATGCTCAAGGTTCTTTATTTTTGTTTATTAGGTTTTCTCTGTTCAGATTTGGATGATTTCTCCTAATAAAAGTAACTCAAAAGTTATAAACTTCTTGCCTTTTTTCGAAAAGGGTTTAAATTGAAATGTGGGTTTGATTTAGATTAGAAAGATTTTTAATTTAGTAGTGTGAATTTTTTTATTTTTGAACGACAGCTTCATAATATGATATCTACTTTTGTTGGTGTCAATAATGTTGTCTTTGAGAAAAGCACATCGGCAGTTAACACATCCATTGATTTATGTTAAAAAATAAATAAATAAATAAACTGGATTGAACTTATTATCACTTGGTGCAAATAAATAATTTACAGGGAAAAAACCAATTGTTGATCTGGGTTTTGTAACGGACAAGGAGAATGGGCAGGCAGCTAATAGTAGCACCGACAACAAGATAGCCTCTCTCAATAATTAGTAGTTTAACTTATGTGGCATTTTTTTAAAATTTATTTAAATGTGTAAGCCGAAAAATAAAAAAAATAAAAAAGAACTTTTATATTACTCTAATAATTGAGAGATTTTGAAGCGACAATTTGAAATTTAGGAACAATAAATAAAGTGATAGAACATATATTTTAATAAGTGAAAATAAATCAGGGTTTATGTATAAATTTTTTATACACGTGCGTTAATGAAAGATTGAGTTGAATAGCATTAGGATCATTATATTTATTTATGAATTTAATTGATCTCATAAACTCAACAATGCAAAAAAGAAACCTTTTTCTGGTATTTTTTATCACCTCCATTCTCACATTTTCTCCAATTTTGTGGCTTTTACTAGAAATCTCAAAATCCAGTAAAGGCAAAATAAATAGAGAGGAATTTCACCTTTGGTTTCCCTCATTTTCTCAGGAAACAAATAGAAAATACCTTCTTCAAATGATTTTTTTTTTTTTTTTTTTTTAGAAAATACTTCTTCAAATGATTTTTTTTTTTTTTTTTTTTTTTTTTTTAAAGTCCTATCGTGTTTTCCTGTCCCTCTCTAAAAGTTTAAAATCAATCCCTTCTTATTCCAAAATTGGACCTTGATTTTTTTTTTTTTTTTTTTTTAAAGTATCTGTTTCCTGCCCTTCTAATAAGTTTAATCAATCCCTCTTATTCAAAATGGCTTGATACCCAATTACTACTAAACCTCAGAACTCCAAACTCCAAACAATAGAGAAGCCAACAAAAATTATAGCTGAAAGGAGAGAAGCTCTAATGGTATCATTTGATAGAAACCCAAGGCCTACTGTAAGAATAGCCAACTTCCCTAATCCTACTCATGCTTCCATTAAAGTAGTTATTCCCAAAAAACTCTTTGCTCGACCTCTCCTCTTTGCCTGAGAATATTTCAGTAAATGTAATTTTCAATCGGTGGAAAGACCCGGCAACAAATTGGAAATCACGGGTTTATCATATGGAAGAAAAGTATCTACCACAAGCAAAGGGAAAAAAAAGAAGAATACAAAGAGAGAGAGAGAAGAAGAAGAAGAAGAAGAAGAAGAAGAAGAAGAAGGTGGGGTGTAGAGGTAAAAAGAAGAAAAGGTACAAGATTAGTAGTCTCGTCTACATCTATCCACCTAACAAAATAGAGCGAATGAGGGAAAGAAAAAAGAAGATGGGTCACCGCCGATGTTGAAGACCTTGGGGCAGGAGAGAGAAATGGCTTCACATGAGAGAGAGAGAGAGAGAGAGAGAGTGGAATTTGACGTTGCAGACTGTTTTTTATGCTTATAATGCTCAACGTTAGCTTCATGTCCAATGGTTATTCCGACGGAAATTTTGATACCTCAATATAATAAGGGATATAATTCAGGTACAACGGGTGAAATTAAGCTAAAATGGTGAGGGACAACATTAATTATGAAATAAAATGTGCTATAATTTATAAAAAAAATGTCAAATATAATGTAAAAAAAAAATGTCAAATATATTATATGTAGAATTTTTAGATTGTAATATAATCATTAATGAAAAATACAGGGACTCCTTCCTAAAAAAAGGAAAAATATATAGGACTCTGAAGTACTTGAAGTATTTTAAGTTTTAATAATTTTGAGGATTAGAATACGATTATTTTTAAAATAAAATCTCATTTAAAACATCAGGAACTAAAATGTGCTGGTAAATTCATAATTTTAGAATTAAAAGTTATAATATTGAACATCAATAAATCTCGAAGACTGACACTGTTAATACTGAAATAGTGAGTATTACAGCATATATTAAAGTAAACCTTAGGCATGTTTTGTAATTAATCTGTATAATATGATATTAGGAGTAAATCCCAAAAACAGATAAAAAATTTTTTTTTAAAAGCTAGCACTTTTGTCCTGTCCTGAACCTTTTCTCCAGTAAATGGGCCAGACAGAAAAAAGAAGCCCGCAGTAGCAGCAGCAAAACAGAAAATAAATGAGAACGACAATTTAGTAATAGAGTCCCCTGTATCGTGTATACTGAACCGCAGAAAATTCCCTTTGTATAAACAATACTTATACTAACAGCTATTTTGTCGTTGAAGTCATTGGAAAAAGATAACAAAGGGGATTTGATTGAAAAAGCTCTAATATTATAAGACTGTAAGTCCATAGTTAACGCAGTTCCCCACACCATTAAAGATTATATAACTGTAAAGTCTAAACTGTTCACTCTCCATCAAAAAAAGCACAGAGCCAGCCAAACACATATACCCATAAGATTAAACTACTATAACTCAGTTTCTTCTTGTATCAAGAATCACCTGTTGATTAAAAAGAGCTCTCCTTTCCGCAACTTTCTTCAGGATGACCAACTGTTCGATAGAATACACACAACAACGCTGCGAGTAAAGTCTTGATTGCGCCTCAGGCGTGTTTAATAGAACCTGTAATACTTGCTGTCTGCTTAACATCTCCATTTTCCCGAACAAACTACCGAGACCACCAACATCGCCACTAAAGCTTGAATCAGTGGCCATGGCTTGAAGTGCTTTGACTTGAGCTTGCAAAAACTTGACATACTTATATGCCTCGGCTAGCATAGTTGCAGTGTCCATTTTCTTATCCAGTGGCAGTAGCTTCTGTAAGTGGTGAAATTTGTCGCTCATTCTTTTCCGGCGTCGCTTTTCTACCTGTTTTTGAGGGGTAACTGCGGTGGAGAGAGAAGCAGAAGGTGGAGAGGAGTTGAGATTGGTTAAACGTGAGTCAAAAGGATGTTTTGAAGGAGGTGACTCACTAGATTGAAGAGAAGGGAGGTTCTTAGAGAAGAAATCTAGTGGCTGAGTTAACTCGGTGATTAATGCTGACTCGTCAAGATTGAAATACGATAACGGTTCTTTTTTAGGAATTTTGAGGTTGGCAGAGAAGAAGTTGGAGCGAGTGAGTTGGGAATCGGAGTTGAAAAACAAGTTATCACCGAGTTGATGAGAGTGAGTTGCGGTGTAATAAGCAGGGAAATCTAAAAGAGAGGAAGTCCCAATGGAGCAATCGGAAGCCAATGGGATTAGAGTTTGGACAGTAACATCGGAGAAAACAGAGCTGAAGGGACTATCATCGGGAACGACGTCAGTTGAGATCGGCGGCGGAAACAGAGATGCAGAAGAAGCAGCGTCACAGAGAGAGGAAAAGCTTGGTTTAAAATCTCTGTCCATAATTTTAAAAACAGAGAGCTCAAGAAATAGGTAGAGAAAAAAAAGAAGAAAAGAGGGGATTTTAACTAGAGAAACTACAAAGAGAAAGGAGGGATGATTCCATTTAAGAGTGAACACGTGTTGAAAGGATTGAGGAGAACGTTTTGTAGGCGGCGAGACGCAGGAATCGAGGACGATTCACATCAGGTTGTCGTACAGGTATATTATTTGTAACAGAAGGGACACACAGGTGGTCCCGCCGTAGTTACAGCCTGTGTGTTCGATGTGCTGTGCTTCTGGTCATATTACCGCTGAGTTGTGACCGGAAACTTCTTTTTGTTTGTTTTATTTGAGGAATTGGGGGCATTTTATAGCGTATAATATACGGATGAAGAGAGACAAAAACTGATTGCAAAAGGGTAAATGTTGGGCGTGGATTTACACGTGCTTCAGCCTTCATGGTTCCTTCCGGGTACGGTGATATTAAATTATTATTAACTGGAAAAGAAAAGCACTTCCCCTGTAACTGTAAGCCTGCCCTATCCTCCTTTACCAAACACGGGGTACATCTCACCAAATAAGCAGCCTATGACACTTTTGAGTTCTCTAAGTTCAAAAAACTTAGTGATTTTTTTTTTTTTTTTAACTCACCAAATAAGCAGCCTAGTGACACTTTTGGAGTGACGTTCTCTAAGTTCAAAAAAACTTAGTGATGTTGATTTTTTTTTTTTTTTTTAACTTTCTGAGAAACAGATACAAATATCAGAGCTAAGCAATTAAAGCCAAACATCAAGTATTAATTACATCTCTTTATAATATATAAATTGGGCACCTGAATCAATCAGTATGAATCTAAATTAGCCGAGAAAAGAATTTAATATGCTTTATTTGTCAATTCGGAATCACAAGCTAAAATAAGATCAGTGTTGAACAACAAATACGTTGGATTTTGACATTTTTCTTCTTTCATATTTTCACTAAAATTAGGAAGGGGAAAAATACTTTACTACCATTAATGAATTACAAATTACAAAAAAAAAAAAAAAAAAAAAAAAAAAAAAAAAAAAAAAAAAAAAAAAAGGAATAAAACTACTGTACACATAGATGGAGAAGGGAAGCAGCAGAAAAGGAAATAATCATTTTGAAGATAACCAACACCCACACATAAAAAGGGTAAAAAAAAAAAAAAAAAAAAAAAAAAAGGAATAAAACACTGTACACAAGAATGGGAGAAGGAAGCAGCAGAAGGAATAACATTTTGGAATGATAACCAACACCCACACTAAAAAGGGTAGCTGTGAACTAAAGAAATCATTCCAAAACATTGAACTAAAAGTATCGGTTGCCTAATAACCCGACTGCAGCTTTCCTAATTGCTGGAGAAAATGGTTGGTTTCACCTATCCCACATGGCCTGGAATATACTGGGTCTGTGCTTCAACCAACACACCATATCCTTGTCTAAAGGAGAGTTGCTCAAAACGGCATCGAGCATTGGGCTGCCAATAATTTTTGGAGTACTCTTGAATGACCATATTTGGTCCTTCGGCCAAGGCTTCTGTGGATACTTCTCCTGTGAATAAGGTAGCAGCATATAAAAAGCCATTCTAATCACAAAAAAAAAACAAAGGGAATAATCACTAATCAACATCTAAATCTATCTGGTTGTCAAATTTCTCAACTCAAACATTAAAACCTTGCTCGGTTTAGTCATGTCGAAGTTTATAAAATTTAGTTCACATGAGTTGAGTAACATTTTCATTTATACCAAACATATTAACATGAAATTTGAAACCTATTCCATAAAATTTGTATACCAGACACGAGTTAAGGCAATGTTCGATACAGCGTGTAAAGGAAAGCATGTAATCAAATGAATCTTTAGTTCAAATATGAACTAAATATGGATTTGACTTATTCCAGGTTCAGTTGAGACAGGAATGGGATAATACATCTCTTATTTTAAAATGTCAAAACTACTTTAATAAACATCAACGGAACTTACCATCCTTTCCAGCATAACCTTCACGGTCTTTGGACCATAAACACGTTGCTGCGTTGGTTTCTGAACTTTAGCGTAGAAAGAGCCAATTTCAGGTAATGACAAGCAGCCCCTGCTTGCCTTAGCCAGGCTACAATCTGGCTCAGCATTAGTTTGGATATGCCAATAGATCAACTGCCCCATACAATAATTTTCACCATAAGTTTTTCGATATTCATGAATACCAGCCCCCAACTTATCAGCATACTTGGGACCCAAGTCAAGTGGACTAATGTGAACGGGTGGAGAAGTAAATGTATTGTACTCCTGCAAGTAAAAGTAAAGTTACTTGAACATAACATGATATAATGGTGCTGATAATAATTTAGACGGCAGATAGAGCCAGTAGAAGAGGTCGGAAGGAGGCTCGTGGCAAAATCACTCACTCGAATTCTAAAGAAGCTTCTTGTATGAGCATAAATATGGATCAAGTCAGCTGCAGCATCGTGCCGACACCTATATGTACATGTAAGGTTCCGAATTTCGTCTCTCAACCTTCAGAAGAAAGATTCAAATTCGATTAGAGTTCACATGTTTTACCAATGCACAAGCATGAAAATGAATTGAAGCTAATACTGGCAGCTTACCATAGCAATGATTCCTGAAGTTCTTTCTGAATGTTATCAGAATCTGACAGATCATGGGCATGAATCTTGGACTTGAGATCATTTAGCACATCAGCTTCAACATGAGGAGCCATGCACTGGAGAAGTTCTTCAACAAGTGACCCCTCCCCTTTCCAGAGGAAAGAAACAGTTTCCTTGTCACTCAGCCTCTCCAAGGGAGGTGGAGCTTTCTTTGGGTCACCAAATAGACATCGCATTACATACCTCACCTGTATTAAAACAAAATAAACAGTAATGAATTTTGTATCCATTGAAAGATCAAGAATCAGTACAGTTAACCACAAAATATCATGAATAAGAGAAGGCATTAGTTATCATTTCACAAAAATTTAATTCAGAACTAGGCCTATAATTGCTTACTAATTTTCAAGGGTGGAAAGTTTTGCATGGCATTAACTAGATGCTCTACAATGGTACCATGGTGAGACTAGAATAAAGGGAGAAAAATATAGCATACTGAAATTACACTTTGCCAAAAGTAAAAGAGGCACAAACCTTGTCAAGAGTTACAGCCAGATTTTGAAGCCTCTGGTTGTACACGCCTTCAGCCTGCCTCGTATAAAAAACGCAACATGAGTATCCAAATGGTAGCTGTAAGCATAATTACTAGTGTACAAAACTTCCCAAATAAATCCTCACATACACACACAGCATTTACCTGAACCTCAGCATCACTCTTCTCAACCTCAAGACATATTTCCGAAAAATATTTCCTCTTTTCTTCTAAATTATGCCTTAGAATTTCCGCAGGAAGCTTTGTCCTCTCCAGATTTATGAACCTCACCTTCATAAAAAAAAGAATGTGTCAGGAAAATGAAACAGAAAAGATCTCAAAAAATTTTTTCAAAAGATTAGTATAAACTTGAAAAAGACTCACAAGACGAGCAGAATATGCAACAACCCAATCTGGCAAACCACCAAGCAGACAACTTCCTAAACCAGCCCTCCCCAAGTCAAGGTAATCCTCTTCAGATACAGAATTTAATTCACAGGCTTCAAGCATTAACTGATGTCTATCCAACATGGCATGCCACTCCTTCAGCACCTGATGAACAGTAATATTCAGTTAACTGAAAACAAGATCACTTGGGAAATTAGGGTGGGAAGTACTATCAAAATTCAACTCGGCTATAATCTTCACATAAAAATATTAAACTCCATCAAATATATACACACACGCGCACACACACTCTTTTGCACTCTGTACCTTCTGGAAAGCCCCTTCACCTGTCAGATTTAAATAGCTGCCCCGGCAAACTTGGCTACCACACAAACAAACAGACGCTTCATATTCTTCCTTACTCTGCAATATGAAGAGCAGTCATCAATTGTCCAAGGAAACACAACTATGTATGTATGCGTGTAAACAAAACTGAAAGGCAAATATATGCACCTCTGTCACAGAATTATAATCAAATGTGATCTCCTCGCCATGTTGGATGTCTCGGACAGTATAGATTCCAATCTGGTAGTGACCTGCTACAGCAGTAACTCTGCAAAAAATTGAGAATAAAAACCTGAGACCAAAGCCTTGCAAATACTAAACAAAAATTTCTAATGCAAGATCATCAGCTGGAGACATTTTCTTCCCATTAATTGTCATTGGATTTGGCGAAAAGTTCATTAAGAAAATATATCATTCAACCAAATATTCTACATATTTGTAGAAACAGATCCACCACCAACAAATATGTAGAAACAGATCCCATTCTTACTTCAAAAATGATAATTTTAAAAAAAAAAAATTTATTTCAAAGTAATGGAATTGTGACAAAAGAAAAGAACAAGAATAAAAGGACAGACTTCTATATATATGGTAATAATTCCATTTGAACAGGGAACTAGTTCTAAGACCAGCAAGTGGCCTTCATTCATTCGCTCATCCATAAATACTGACATTTGGCCATTGGTTACATGACTTCAGCAGTAAAGCTGACAGAATTATTGAACTCCAGTGACATAATGCCGTCCAAATTATATTGCTTTATTATTTCCAATTTTTATATAGTTACATGCTTCTTTTGCAAGTGAAAAGAAGAGACAGGTAAGCAGTATTGATTAGCAAAGTCTTTCAGACTACAATGCTTACAGAACTTTAATATGCAGCTTCACAAATTGTTTCACATGCAGTAGAAAAGCAAGTATAAAGGGGACAACTCACTTTGCCTCACAATTTGGTCTGCATGAGTGACAAATTCTGCTTGCATAGTTTGCCTTATGCATGGCATCAACAACTACTAAATCGTAGCCATCAGCATCACCCTGCCAAAGGACAATAACAGATAAGGTCAAAACATGAAGAAACAAATTATGAAAAGAAAAACAATAGCTGTTTATTTTAGAATGAAGAACACCTTTGGCCTCTCAAGATAAATGTTATAAAATTCTGGGGCAGGATCTTTGTTATCTTTTTGTAAAGATCGGATGCCATCTTGCTTCTCAAACCACTTCCATGCAGGGTAAACCTGTGCAAGTTATTGAGGAAGAGAAAAATAAGAAATTTTCAGCATTATAAATCACAATTCTAAAGCAAGAAACCAAGCAACATACATGAACGCATAAATTAAACAAAGTATGGTCATTCAATTATATGGATCGACGATCTAGCAATGGAATTTCTATTTTGTTTACAGAATCACATAAAATTTTATCTAACTTCATAGATGGATATGATCACTTTCTTACAAAATACAAAACCCATGTTTGCCTTAGACAACAACTAACAGTTGCCCATTTCAATACTAAAACCAAGTGTTATACATTTAAGTCGAAAATTCTCTACCAACATTTAAGAATTCAAAATTAAACCTACTTCTGACCAATGTCTCATGTGGAAATATCACTATGCCTCTTTACTCAATGTTGCAGGATCAAGCACTTAGACAACAACTAACAGTTGCCCATTTCAATACTAAAACCAAGTGTTATACATTTAAGTCGAAAATTCTCTACCAACATTTAAGAATTCAAAATTAAACCTACTTCTGACCAATGTCTCATGTGGAAATATCACTATGCCTCTTTACTCAATGTTGCAGGATCAAGCATCAGCGAGTCCTCTTTACTCAATGTTGCAGGATCAAGCATCAGCGAGTCCATTTCACTGCACCAATTACATGTTTCTCCAAAAAATTGTGAAGATAATATAGACCACCTGAGAATGCACTCATTCAAATTTTGTGCTCGATGTATATTTTCCTATTTCTTTTTATGTTTTAAGTGGGGTTTGAACTGGGAGTGATATGCATTTCAAACACATATATTTCAATATCTAATTATCAGAAGAAGATAGGCAGATAGAATTTTAAGAATCCAAAAAAAAATCCAAATACTGCAGAAGAGTTAAATTCTTCTCAAAAGTAGTTTCATAACTACTTAGCACCCTTACCTCTCCCAGAAACTCTACAACAAAATCATCTTCTCCAAAACCACCATCTTTGTTGCAAACAACACCAAGCCCCTGAAAACAAAAGAGAGAGAAGGGAAGAGAATCAACATGGTGAATTAAGGAACAAGTAAAGTATTAAATAGGCCCGAGCAACATATGAATGATGCTTAATACCTTCCTATAAGCAACATAGTTATCATCAGGACGACTATCTATGGCCGTAAGGATGCTCCGACACATTTTCATCGTCCGCGCATCACAGTCCTCTTCAGAAGCTTTTTGAATTTCTTCAATAACGGGCTGCAAAGGATACATCATTGGAGTGTTCCCAGTGCCAGTGAAATGCCTAACTTGCTTATTCAAAGTACGAAGGAGCATATCTTCAATAAACAAATGTTTCTCCAATAAAGACCAATCCAATTCTTCAGGCATTGAATCAAGTAAAAGATTATGGGTATAGGGATCAATTCCGTAAACTTCTTGCTCTATAACTTCATCTCCAAGCTGTTTTCTAGGTTTGAAGTCCTTCACCTCAGGAAGCTCCATATCCAATTCCTCAGTGCCATTTTTCTGTGCATCAAGCTTCTCAGAATAATCATCTGGCAAAGCAACAGACATCTTCCGTTCAACATCCTCCTCATCTGCTACAATAACATATTTATCTATAACTTCATATTTCCTAGTGACTGGAGGAACTAGACTGGCTTTTGTCATGCGCGCACCCCATTCACGCTCATCTGTCATGGAATCTAAACCCTCATCTTCCATAAAGAATCCATCCCCTCTGGATTCCCCAAGTCGAGTTTCTGAGCAAAAATCCAAGTCACTTTCTGTATCCGAAGCAGTACTTTCACTGTCACTGTCAGAAGACTTGTTGAATTCATCTGAAGTTTCACTTCCAGAGTCCATGGATTTTCTGTTCAATTTGGATAACCGCCTTCTGATTTCACGATCAGATGCGTAATCTCCATAATCAAAACCACCATTACTCCTATTATTGTTCTTCTTTTCCAAGACTAACTTCTTCTTATATTTCATGGGAGTATAGCCTAGCCCAGCAGACAAATCATCTTTCCATGACTTCATTAGTTCATCTCTTTCATAAGAAAACTTAGGAATATCTTCCAAACGTGAGGCAAGTTTGAGAAATAATGTAATGATATGATCCATATCTCCAGCACCCCGATTCTTGGCTCTGCATCCAATGATGTATAGAACTAATAAATAAAGTGAAGTCAAAAATACTCAGAAATTATAATAATGAGCACATAATAACATATTATGAAAAAAAAAAAAAAAAAAAAAAAATACTCAGAAATTATAATAATGAGCCACGATAATAACATATTAAATGAAAAAAAAAAAAAAAAAAAAAAAAAGAATTGATAGCAGTTTTTTCCCCATTCCATCTTAACATAAAACTTACATGAATTGTCAATTTTAGGCCACCTTTTCGCTTTTAATCAGCTTGTACCTTAACTCCAAGTCAAATAGATTAAATATTTCATTTTATTGCTTAACGAAATAAATATTATTTCTATCATTTAAAATGACATTTGAATTTGAGACAGTTTTAAACAAGAAAATGAAAAAAAAAAAAAAAAAAAAAGATGATAGCAGTTTTTTTCCCCATTCCATCTTAATCATACCTTACATGAATTGTCAATTTTAGGCCACCTTTCGCTTTTATCAGCTTGTACCTTAACTCCAGTCAAATAGATTAAATATTCATTTTATTGCTTAACGAAATAAAATATTATTTCTATCATTAAAATGACATTGAATTTGAGACAGTTTTAAACAAGAAAATGAAAAGATTGTATAGAATGATAGCTTATTCAATTCCCAAATGTTCCAATTTTAATAGTAAAATTAATGAGTGTCATTCAAGTTTTTTATTTTTTTTTCTTACCTGTAGTTATGTGCTTCATAGTGAGAAGGATATGGTCATTACTTACACTGAACAAGAATATATTTTTTATTAATATTTACTACATATGTATAATATATAACTCCCTCCATTCCATAATTCTAGTTCTACTTCCATTTTTCATTTGTCTCAAATTATAGTCCTATTTCCCCTTCTAGAAAATGATTTTTATTTAAGTTTCTTATTCTACCCCTATATAATGTACATTTCTATTAAAAAAGTCATCATTGTCACCCATATTAGCCAATTTTATAACTTTGATGGCCTTGATTTTTTCATTAAAAAATTAAATTTGATTGGTTTCAAGAATACTTTAGTATGAGTCATTTAATTATAATAAAATAATATGGACCATTTAATAATTAATATAAGGGTATTTTAGGAAATAAAAAAAAAAACAAAGCAAAAATTATAGTTTAAACATATTAACTGTATTCCCTAAATATGTGTGAAAGTCAAACTAGGACGAAGAAGAATATACGAGTGGCGAGAAAATGGGGTGGGCTTTACCAACCCCGTGGCAATTCCTAGAGAGAAGGTGGAGAATGTTACCATGAATACATTATATACAGAGGTACAAATGAAAATTTCGGAGCTTTTGTCATAATTTATGCAAAGGTTTGGATTATCTTAATCATCAGCCCGACAGAAATGCTGCTACAAGAACAAATATGATGCCACCAAATTTTATGCATTATATGAGGGGAAGTGGAAGTTTGGGCTTTTACAGGAATATACATATATAACTTACTTGATTGCATCCCTGCACATTCGGCTGATATCATCCTTAACAGACCTTAAGCCATGTCCAACATAATAACCATTTTGCATCCTATCTTCAATTTCTGCCACCTGATTAAGGAAGAGAGAAGGGAATGAGAACTCAAAGCAAAAATGTAGCACAAGACATCTCCATGAAAACAAATCATTAGCCATACCTTGGGAACAAAAAAATCAAATGTATTCTCCTTCATGATGTCCTTCAAACCTGAAGCAATAAACCCCTCCATCCTCCTATAGCCACTTTCAGATTTCTTGATGGCCCATCGCCTCATACGGGCATCCCTAGATACAATAGATGATGACCTTCTAGCATCAAACAATTTTGAGCGTTTATACAAACTACGCCGGAATAATTGATTTGCAGAGTCCCTCTTATTCACACTGTCAAAGTACTCCTTCAGTTCACCAAAGTCATCCGTATCACCAACCAGACCTTTGGTTCTAGAAAATGTAGGAGTTTTCTCACTGATCTGTTTAAGACTCCGTATTTTAGAATATGACTCCTCAGTACCACGTGAACTACGAGTCTTGATCCATCTCAGATCAGGAAATTTTGGGGGCAACTCCTTCAACTGGCTGCAACCTCTAATGTCTATAGAAGATAAACAAGGGAAAGAGCGAATAATATCTTCAAGCAAGCCCAAAGTAACATTTGTGCAACCCACCAGCACCAATGAATTTATCCTTTCTTTGTTATAACCATTCTGCAAGCAAATAGCTATGTTAACAAGGGAAGAGATTGAAAACCTGACAATGGCTTGCACAGACAAACATATAACACAACTTACCATTATATTCCAAATTATAGAGTCGGTACAGTTAGGACCCAAATGCGAGAGATCAACATGTCTCGAAATATCCTTGTAAAAGCTCACAGCAGCCCTCCAGTGCTTACAAGTTAAAGAAGCAAAGGCAAGGGATTTCATGTCAGATTTCAGAAAATGAAAGACTCGTGCCAGCATAAGACCATCCAGTAAACCCCAGGTCCCCAATTCAGTCCCTGAGCATGAACCATTCTCTTTGTGAAAAGTAGCATCGCCACACAATTCTTCAAAAGCGGTTTCATCCTTTTGAATGGTTTGTAGTTCTTCAACCGTGTCATAGTCATCATCACTTCCATCAACCTGTAGCCGTGCTCTTTTGCCAGCACGTGGGTCAAGTTCTGCAATTAACCACAGTCCCCCAAAAGAGGCTTAATACCAAGTGCTAGAAACAAACATGAAGACACAAAAATGAAGATAAAAAGAGGAAAGACCAAGTCAATAAGCAAATATATGATTGCCAATGACATACTCAAAAAACAAGGGTATTGATTAAATGCAAAAACAGTACAACAATAGTATATGCCCTGATGCTATTAAAGAAAAAATTAACTTAATTATCAGGTTGAATATGCCACAAGCAGACAAGACACAATAGAAAACCTAGAACTTGCGAAATTCACACCATCTAATTGGGATACATACTTTATTAGTCCACATTCTACACTGGATTAGTTTCAGCACTTAACTGTCGTCCAGAAAGAATGAATGTTCATGCATGCGAAAGAGAAGCGAGAAACAACAGAAGGGTAGGACCAAGTGAACTTCACATAGAAACAGTTTATCTAAATAATGACAACTGCTATGTTCATGGGCAGAGCACCTATTAGAGATTACACTTAGAGGAAGATCTTTTAACACTTCATTTACAAAATTACTGTTGCTCTTTGGAAAATTTGGAAAGACATTAATCTTCTTTTAAGGGACTTAAACATACCTGATTTTCGGTACATGTGGTTATCAACCTCCTTCTTGGGCTGTTTAGCATTGATCCATGGATCCAGAACCTCATTTATGGCAGCAGCAAACTCCCGGCTCTTGTAAGATTTCATTACCAATTCATGTAGCTTCCCACGGGTATAACCAATGAACTGAGGATGCAGGTTATGAAATGAAATGGAATTTGTTTTACTGTCATTATTGGCAGCAATCTGCAATGTTGAAAGAGTTGCTGAAGAATCACCAGATGCTGCAACATTCTCTGGTTGAATTTTGATATTGGCTTCAGAATGCTCTGCAGCAGTGGTTACTGGAACCCACACTCTATCAAATTTTCTAAAAGCACTGCTACATTTTTGGATGGAGCCTTGATCTGCCAGGAGCTGAAGCTCTGAAAATGATAACGGCCCTTGTTCATGCCCAGAACCATCAAGGTAGTACCACTCACCCAAATGCAAGCGTAAGTCATCCGCCGTGCAAAGCCGGTCTTTGGGAGTGTTAATGGATGAAATGGATTTCCAAGATCCAAGAGAGTCTTGATCAGTTTTGAATTGAAAATTACCTTCAGGTGTCAATCTCTTCAAATCATTAGCTCCAGAGTATACACGAAGCCTGGAAGTATATCTTTCCTTTCCTCGAGCTTTTGTGCGAGATTCTGAAACCAATGAACCATGGTCCTTAACAACACATGCATTTATCCTGACCACTGGTAGCATTGTACCTTTCACCCCCCTAACTGTAGAAGGCTTAGCAACAGTTGTTCTATTGACACCACCACATTCATTCCTCTCATCAGTGCAAGAGAAAGCCCAAGGAGGCAGGTCAAGCCTTCTGCTTTGAGAAGGATAATACAAATCATCTTTTCTATGCCACCGAGGGTCCTCTGACCCTGATTTTGGCATTTGGCATAACGGAAAGCCATCATTGAGAACAAGTTTCCTTCTAGAAGGTCTGTCCTGGACAGTCTCATCATTCCTCTTCCAGTCTCCACCTTTGCACGACCATCGGCCAGAAAACCAGTCAGCAGAGTCAACAAAACACCCAGAGCCTTGATCCCTGTCAGAGATTGCACCTAACCTCACTTCAACAGCTTCTTTGGGTTTAGCATCTGAGCCTCTTGATAATTCCTCATTATCCAGTCCATGCTGTTCTGCATCGGAAGCTTGATTCCAAGTGAAACCTGAACATCAATAATCATGAAATTAACATCTTGTGCTGCAGGATATGCTATATTTAATGTTAGTTTTTATGTAGTTAAAAGGACTCCAACTTCAATTGGCTTTAGTATATCTAACACCAGAAATCATGAAACCCTGTTAAATTAAACTTTCTTATTTCATTGCATAGTGCAGACCACCTGCATTGACCTCACTTTGAACTTCCGCTAACTTTGCAACATTTTTATATTCTAATAAATAGTAAACTGCCGAAAGATGATGAAGATCAGAGAAACTGATAACTCCATAACAAGGCCAGAGCAGCCAAACATCCTCAAATTACACCTATTATCATACAAAAATCTTTACATAACGTGAAATTTTCATGTAGTACAAAAAAATTTCAAACCAACAATTCCTATGGGCATGAAATTTAATAAATTCCCTGCATCAGTTACAGGATTGACATAACACTGGTAGTCCCATTCAGAAAATCTATAAAAAATCTCACTAATGCCAAAATGGCACAACAGATAGAACATTAGAACTCCAACTTGGTACGACCTGAGGACTAAAAACTGATTCTAAAATTACTTAATTATGAGTCTCCAAAATAACCAAAAAAAGCAATTGTTTTGCATATACAAATTCCTAAAAAAAAAAACAGGAACTTCTAACTAAGAATTGAAACGCCCCAAGTTAATCCAAGAAAAATAGATAAAGAAATTACATTCGAGAATGTAAAAAATATATGTATGTAATTTACCTTCTGAATCACCGAATCTCTCCCATTGCACATGCTCAAATGTCATTTGTAAAACTTCTGTAAGAAAATATAAAAAGTTCAAAAACAGAGACGGAAAATATTAGAAATCATCCCCATAAAAAATATATATATGCCCAATTATATCAACAATCATCCAGAACATCATTTGATGGAAGGAGAAAAAAGAAAAAAGAAAATTTAGAGATCAATATACCTCGAATAGTATCTAGTTCTCTTCCAGGAACAACAGTAAAACCCTCTAGCAGAGCTCCAACCCTTTCATCAATGTGCAGATCTTCCAAATGTTCTGATGCAGCAACAATGTCATTAAGGCTTGCCAGGGGCTGTGACAAAGCCATTCGCCCTTCCTCACCACTCTGACTCCCATATTGCACTGTATCTACAGTATCTGCCAATAGATTACCAGTTGCCTCTGGTGGACTCACTAACTGAGTTATACTGTCTGACACAACAGATGCGAAATTTGCAGTCACCAATGGTGAAACTGCATTTTCAATGGTCACCCACCTGTCGCCATCCAAGTGCTTGATCAAATGATCTGATACAAGAACTCCCTCAGCAACAAGTGCCTTAAGGTCACACAACTTTGAAGGCCCACATTCCAGACCAAAATAGTCAAGGTAAATCCATTTCCCCGCTGAGGAATCAGCCACCAGGGGGACATGAGGTGGCGTATCACATATATCCATATCTTCCTCCATAGATTGTAGCTCTTCAGGTGGGGGTACATCAGCACAAGGAGATGCTTTGTTATTAATGACTGGACTCTGAGACTGCTCTTCTTTGTGAGACACAGTATTGGTGTTTTTCTCTTCCAATTCATTAATATCATTAACTCCATTCCTATCTTGAGATTCTTTAGCAATGAACTGGGAATCTCTTGCACTAGAGTCCCTCTGGCCCAGCTTATCCTCCTGACCTTTATTTACACTCTGAGAGTTCCGCTTCTCACTTACTCCACCTTTTCGGCTTGCTTCTCGATGATTATTGAGCCTTCCCCGATCAAGTGGGGAGCGGTCCAGGAAGTTTGGAGTCCGATCCCTACGATCATGATATCTGTCCAGTGAGGAGCGCTCTGAATGAGCAGGACTTCTTTTGTACTCATGATAACGACTCCGTTCATATGGGGATTTATCACGTCCATATGGAGATTTATCACGTCCATATGGAGACTTATCGCGTCCATATGGAGATTTCTCACGTCCATAAGGGGATCTGTCACGCCTATAGGGGGATCTTTCTCGACCATATGGAGACCTCTCCCTACGGAGTGGACTCCTATCCCTAATATCATAGTACCGGACTCTGTCACGTGGGGACCGCTCAGAATGACCTGGACTGCGTCCATGCCTATCATAAACTACCTTGGAAGACAAACTTGGTTCATGATGCCTGGAGATGTATTTGTCTGATGAAGATATCCTCAAAGAAGAAGAAGAAGAAGAAGAAGAGTTTCTATAAAACCTTTCCATCGAGTGACGTGAATAGTGCTCCGAGTGAGCAGAGCGAGTACTATCCTCAGAAAGTCTTCTGCTTTTTGAGCATGCATAATCTCCATAATCCCCATAATGTTTGCGTTCATTGCTTTCAAACTCGGTGCCATATCGCTTCAACCTGTTACCAGAAATGTACTCCCTTACATGATTCTTACCGTTGCAGCATTCACTCTTATAAGAGCCTTCTTCATCCACTATCTTGGAACTGATCCTTAGATTTCTATCCAAGCCACTTTCCCACCTAGAAGAACTTTTACTGTACTGAATATTACCACTCCTACCGAACTCCTTCCTTCTGTAGATATCTTCACTGGAATACTTCAGAGAAGGTGGGGTACGCTCTCTACTTGTGTCATACCTACCACGGGATTTAATGTAACTGTAATCGTCCTTATTATGCCATCTATCGGGAACGAACTCTCCTTTCTCAATTTCATCTCTGACAAACTCCCCTTGTTTGCGCCACTTACCTGAAACCAAACCAACCTCTCCCTTTTCTCCATCCCCTTTCCTCCATTTATCGCCAAAAATCTCTGCCTTCTCAATTTCATTTTTCCTTCCCTTCTCTGGTGGAACAAACTCTCCATTTTCAACTTCTGCTTTTGGTGGCCACTTCAAAGTCCCCAATTCACCCTCTTCGACTTCTTCTTTGTTACTCTGTACTTTATTATCAATAGAATTTAAGCTGCTGTCAGCTTCCTTGCCAGCAGTCTTTACCTCCTCTTTGCTAGTCTTTACCTCCTTCTCTTTAATAATCTTTGCAGCCCTTTCTGATCCCAATTCACGCTTCTCTGCCACTGCTTTCTTCACTGTAATGATCTTTTTGACCTTAATTACCTTCTTCAGTACTTTTTTGGGTTTTTTGTTGAAGCCATTCGTAGTACTGTTGCCGCCATTGGTAATACTGTTGCCATTGCTGTTGTTATTATTGCTGCTGTTGTTAGTAGTACTAGTAGTAGTATTGGTTGTGGTGGTTGTGGTGTTGGTAGTGTTGCCAGTTTTGCCTCCGCTGCAAAGTGTTGTCGTATTCTCCTGAATTGGAAACCTCTCCATGATACTGTTATGCTGCAAAGGCATGCATGCGACACCTCCATCGCCCATGGAAATCCCTCCCTCGAACGAAATTACTCGAAACCCTAGTTCTCCCCTCTTCCGGGGCTATCGATGCTCATACTGCGAAGTTCGCTTCCACTTTCTTTATCTTTCGCTCCAATTCAAAACCCTAACTTCCATAATCCAAGAAATGGAAGCAGAAATCAACAGAAAAACCAATGTAGGGTTTCATTAAAACGAACAAACAAACGTAAAAATTAAACAACAAAAGAAGCCCAGAAAGCCAATTGGATAAGCTTGAAACCCTAGGGTTTCTATCCGAAAGAGGAAGATAAATGAGAAATAGCCAGATAGAGAGAAAGTGAGAGAAAATTACCAGGAAAATTATTGAGCTGAAATTACAGATCGGCGAAGAAGAAACCAACCAGAGAGCTGCGAATTCGAAAAACAAAGGTTTTTGTAGAATACAGATCGATAGAGAACGAGAAAACAAACAGCTTAAGAGGGAAATCTCTCTGTTATATATATTTATATATATTCTCGTTCTTTTATATATCTCTTTTGCTAAATCTTTGTGTTTCGCTCGCTCGTGTTATATTGGGCTGTGTCGTCCTTGGTCTGAAAGACGAAACCTTCCTGTTATTTTTCTTTATTCTTTACTTTCACTTTTCTTGTTGGTATATGTATTTATCGATCGGGCAATATTTCTGAATTTACCGATTTACCCCTACGAAATTGGCATACGGGATACGGCGGTGAAACTGTATTTGGATACGTACATCAATATTTAAGAGCCATTTTGGGCTGCAAGTTGCAGAGAGCGAGAAGAGAACTGGTCCATCTACTGGGCTTTAAGTAGGTCCAACCGCTGTGTATTTTAGGATGGCTGCCAGTTCGATTCTAATTGGAATCGAACCACAACTGAAATGGAACCGAACTATACTGTAGACGAATCGAAATCAGACCAAAACTAGCGGTTCAAAATTTTAAATGAGAACCGACGGTTCAAGGGCCGATTAAGGTTCATGTTAATGTTAAAAAATGAACCTGAATCAGTCGAAACCGGCGATTTCGGTCTGATTCGAACCAAATGGACAAATAAAATTATTTGTAGCTTAAAATTTTTCATTAAAAAATTTATATCACGTGATTTGATTTATGGTGAAGAGAAATACACAATGGTACATAAATTATAAAAAATGGTGAAAAAAAAAAGTACACATGATTTCACTTAATTTGTATAAAAAAATGGTACATGAATAGTTGATCTGTATAAAAAAAAAAACTTCCATGTGTACAAAAACAAATGGTGCAAACGGCTAGTTGATAGGTGACTTTAATCTTTTTTATTTTTGGTAAATAAATTTTCTTCATTTTTAATCAATTATTTATTTATTTATTATGATTTACTAAATTATCCAAAAATATAGTTGTTATTTTTCTGTTATAAAGGACAATTTGGAAAACTAATAAAAACATGATTTCACTTAAATTGTGTTAATAAAAAAAATGGTTACATGAATAAGTTGATCTGTATAAAAAAAAAAATAACTTCCATTTTGTGTAACAAAAACAAAATGGTGCAAAACGGCTAGTTGATAGGTGACCTTTAATCTTTTTTATTTTTGGGTAAATAAAATTTTCTTTCATTTTTAATCAAATTATTTATTTATTTATTATGATTTACTAAATATCCTACTAAATTATCCAAAAATATAGTTGTTATTTTTCTGTTATAAAGGACAATTTGGAAAACTAATAAATGAAAAATATGTATAAATATGATGAGTTGATGTTTTTTTTTCACAACCAATTATATCATAACTCTCCTCTTATTTTCAATCAAAATTCTCTCAAATTTCCATAATTCATTATGTTTTCTATTGCTTTATTTTCCTTAATATTAGAATTATCTATTGTTTATTTTTATTTTATACATCCAATTCTAAATTCCTTCTAATCCCAATTTTTCCATTCATAAATTTACTTCATTTGATTTTTTTTTTTTAATTTTCTTAGTATTTGGAAATAATAATTTCCAACTCATTCCATTAATTTCATATTCCATTTATCCATTTTTTTTTCCATAACTCCATTTTAAAACATGGCACACAATTCACAAAGCTCCAAAGGAAAGCGAGTTGCTCAAAGCGTGGAAAAAATTGAGTCAAACGATCCATTGATTGATTTTTCACCACAATTTAATGATGAAGTTCAATATCATACTCTAGTTTATGAATATTATATTCATCATCATCCACCACAAAAAGCAACATCTTTTAATATTTCAATCAATAAACCACTAAAATCAGATATTTTCAAGAAGTACTTTGCAAAATTGTTTAAGATAAAAGGAAAATCAATGCGGTTTGATGTAATTATGGCAAAAAAGAATATGCATTTAAGCTTGGAGGAGGTTATGACACTCTCAATAGGCATTTAAAATCACATCATCCTAGTGAGATAGGGATGGATCTAACTCAAACTCAATTATCGTCATCAACGTATGGTGATTCTCACACTCCTCTATATAAATATAGTGATAAAACTAATAAAATTGAAATGACTAAAATTTTTTATATGGAACGATTATCTTTTTCATTTAGTGAAAAAATTGGATTTAATAACCATTGTAAAAAAATATTAAATCCTTTAGCAAAAAAGATACCTATGAATACACTTAAAATGACTATCTTATCTATTTACTTGAAAGAAAAAAATTTTTTTAAAAATGTATTTACAAATTTTGATGATAAAATTGCTATTTGTTGTGATATTTGGTGTGATGCATGGCAAACTCATTCTTATATGGGTGTTACTTACTCATTCTTATATGGGTGTTACTTCCCATTGGATTGACAATGAATGAAAAATTCAAAAAAGAATTATTGCACTTAGAGTTTTTGTGACTCTCACACTGTCCATAATATCTTTACCATGTTAAATATTATTTTAGAAGAGTATGGTTTGACTAAAAAATTTTTACAATTGGTTTTGACAATGTTAGTGCAAATACGGCATCAATAACTGAATTAAAAATTCTTTGTCAACCCAAATTTGGTGGATAATTTTTTCACACTAGACGTGCATGTCATATTTAAAATTTATGTGTTCAAGATTCATTAATAACATTAAATGTATTTTTACATCCAATAAAAAATGTTTTAAATGAATTTATGGACACATAGATATGTTAGAAAAAAATTAAAAATTTTTGTCACTCTATGAGAAATAAATATAAAAAATTTTCAAGAGATATTTTCTACGGGGTGGAATTCAACTTATAAAATTTTAAATGAGTCTTATGAATATAAAGATATTCTTTCTTCATCTATGCAATTGCATGCATCACATTTTCACATTTATCTAACCAATTCGACTATTTGTAAAAAAATATTAGATATTTTGCAAGGTTTTGAAAATTGTGCAAGAATTTTTAATGGTGTTTATTATTTTACTTTCCATTTATTTCCATTTCATTGTTTGGCAATAAGTAGTGCCATAATTGAAAATAAAAAAGATGATGATTTACAAAAATATATATTCATGATAAAAACTAAATGGTTAAAATATTATACTGAAATTCCTAATTTAAATTTATTTAAATGGTTAAAATATTATACTGAAATTCCTAATTTAAATTTATTTACATTTTTTATTTGTCCTAGATTTAAGTTAGTTGCATTACAAAAATTTTTTCGTTTTTATTATGGATCTTTTAATATTGAAGTAGATTGTTTTTCTTTTACTAATAATGTTTTAAGGTATGTTCGTCAATTATATGATGAGTATTCTAAATTAGTATCTCCCATTCCTCAAGTATCACATTTACAAACTACATAATCCATTAAATTTTATTCACAAAATTTACTTTCATGCAAAATGTTTCAAAAAAACCAAGGGAAATTCCACATTCATACATAGAAATTGAGACATATATTAGCACAATTTTGAATTTTTAGGTGATGATGCGGATGAAGACCCAACAAAATTTGACATTTTGGATTGTAGAAAAGGCATGCAAATTGCTTTCCAGTCTTAGCTTCAATTGCAAAAGTGGATTGTAGAAAAGGCATGCAAATTGCTTTCCAGTCTTAGCTTCAATTGCAAAAGATATTATTACTTGTCCAATTTCTATTGTTGCAGTGGAACAAGCTTTTAGTGCAGGTGAATAAATTTTAGATTCAACACGGTTAAGATTATCACCAAATAATGTAGAAATGCAAGAATGCGTTGACGATTAGACTAGAGCGGCGTTGACAACTCAAGATCAATAAAATTCAAGCGATGATGATGATTCCGGCTCATTATCGGGGACTAGTGGCACCGATGACTATGACTAAAATTAATTGTAATAATTGGGAGGTTATTTTCCATTGTAATAAAAAAAAAGAACTACGTGGTCTTTGATTTCCTCTAATTTTCAAGAGGATACATAGGCAATTAAAAATTAAAAATTTTCAATTTTTATTTAATTCAAGCCCGAAATAAAAAAATTATAATTTTCTATATTAGTGAATTAGCAAAATTTGTAAATTTAATGTAATAATAGTTCTAAGTTAATAGAAGTTTTTCTTTTAAATTTCTTTTTAAAATTTTAATAGTTCTAAGTTAATAGAAGTTTTTCTTTTAAAATTTTATAATAATTTATTTAGTTAATAAAATCTAAACATTTTAAAATTATTATTTATTTCTGAATTTGAAATTAAAATTTTATTAATTTTTTAAAAAAATTTGTGTAATACCAGAACCGTAAATTGGAACCGTCGATTCATCGGAACAATGCTGAAACTAGAGTCGGACCGGAATCAGAAGTTCAAAGATCAGTTCGGTTTAAAATTTTAAACATTTCGAATTGGCGGTTCAATAAACCGGAACCAGCGGTTCATTGACCCGGCCATGCCTAGTGTATTTAGCTGAGCTGCTTCTTTTGTTTTTGCAGTTCAAAGCTTGGAGGAAAAAAGTAAAATAAAAATTATTTTTTATAAGGTTTTGCATTTTAATTGGAGGTGACTTGAAAAAAAAATTGCACGCTATCGGAAAAGTTTAAATCAAAATGTTTTTTAGTCTTTTTTTTAAAGAATACATATGTGAGATAGAAATAAAAAAATATTTTTATCCAATAATTTTGAAATTTTGATAAAGCATGGTAAATATTTTTTAATTATTTTTTCTTTTATATATATCTATAACTAAATTGTTAAAATAAAAGAAAAAATTTTATTTTTTATGAGATTTTATGTTCTTTTATAGTGGTAAGAGACATAGTAAACTAGTTTTCTTTTATCATTATAATCTCATTTTCCAAATTTTAACGAAACAAATTTTCCACTTTGAACTTAAGGAAAATTTGCTAATTTAAAAAAAATATATATATAATTTTACCTCAATTTTAAAACCATTGTAAAATTGTATATTTTAATTGCACTACAATGAAAAGACTATATTTAGAAGGAAAAAATTGTAGGAGAAAAGAAATTAATTGAAGAAAAAATTAATTCTCTTTATTTTCAAAGAAAATAGAAAAAACTATAAATTTTTTCTTTTCTTTCTATTTTTTCTTTTATTTTCTTGCCTTCTTAATTAAAGATATAAATTGACAACTAACATACAACTCATAGTTTATGCATGTTTTTCTT